ATTATCTAAATGAACATGTATTCTTTTGTAATCAGGAAAAAAATAATTTACAAAAGTATCCTTAAAACAGGTAAACCCCCCGAATGTAATCAGCTCTTAAATCCTTGCTAATATTTTCATAGACAGGAGCTTCCTGGTGCGTGGTAATGCGCGTTACTATAGAGCAACCTCTGAGCCTTTTTAGCTTTTGTATGGTGAAAGTAGTGCACGAACAATTAAACAACAAGGGTAGCCCAGGTGCTGTGAGCCAGCCATACGCTGAGCCACAAGAGGAGACTCCAAGGCAAACAGAACAACTATCAAGGCTTCACTTTTTAAAACATTTTTGAATCTTATTTATTTTTTTATACAACAGGTTCTTAATTAGTTATCCATTTTATACATATTAATGTGTATATGTCACTCCCAATCTCCCAATTCATCCCACCACCACCACCGCCCCGCTACGTTCCCCCCTTGGTGTCCGTACGTTTGTTCTCTACAGCTGTGTCTCTATTTCTGCCCTGCAAACCGGTTCATCTGTACCATTTTTCTAGGTTCCACATATATGCGTTAATATACGATATTTGTTTTTCTCTTTCTGACTTATTTCACTCTGTAGGACAGTCTCTAGATCCATCCACATCTCTACACATGACCCAATTCCATTCCTTTTTATGGTTGAGTAATATTCCGTTGTATATATGTACCACATCTTCTTTATCCATTCGTCTGTCGATGGGCATTTAGGTTGCTTCCATGACCTGGCTATTGGAAATACTGCTGCAGTGAACATTGGGGTGCATGTGTCTTTTTGAATTATGGCTTTCTCAGGATATGCCCAGTAGTGGGATTGCTGGGTCATATGGTAATTCTACTTTTAGTTTTTTAAGGACCTCCATACTGTTCTCCATAGTGGTCGTATCAATTTACATTCCCATCAACAGTGCGAGAGGGTTCCCTTTTCTCCACACCCTCTCCAGCATTTGTTGTTTGTAGATTTTCTGATGATGCCCATTCTAACTGGTGTGAGGTGATACCTCATTGTAGTTTTGATTTGCATTTCTCTAATAATTAGTGATGTTGAGCATCTTTTCATGTGTGTCTGGGCCATCTGTATGTCTCCTTTGGAGAAATGTCTATTTAGGTCTTCTGCCCATTTTTGGATCAGGTTGTTTGTTTTTTTTAATATTGAGCTGCATGAGCTGCTTATACATTTTGGAGATTAATCCTTTGTCCATTGGTTTGTTTGCAAATATTTTCTCCCAGTCTGAGGGCTGTTTTTTCGTCATTTGTAGTTTCCTTTGCTTTGCAAAAGCTTTTAAGTTTCATTAGGTCCCATTTGTTTATTTTTGTTTTTATTTACATTACTCTAGGAGGTGGGTCAAAAAAGATCTTGCTGTGATTTATGCCAAAGAGTGTTCTTCCTATGTTTTCCTCTAAGAGTTTTATAGTGCCCAGTCTTACATTTACCTCTCTAATCCATTTTGAGTTTATTTTCAAGGCTTTACTTTTATCTTGCCAGTAAGACCCACAACAAACCTGATACCAATATCTAATCACTTTAAGTGCACCTTATAATGAGGGAGTGCTTCAATCAAACCTTTGTAAAATAACTCTGTTCTCTTAAAAGATGAAGTAAAAATACTTTTTAATGACATGAATAAATAAAAAGTTTAGACCTGACATTGGGTTCCTTAAACAGGTCCTAGCCGCAGGAATGCCAACCCAGCTGCCAGTCATAAAAACAAGACTTTTTGCAGGGTCCATATTGTGTCTGTTTATTGACCCTTACGAGGTGCCAGGGACTGTGCTCAGTGTTGGATGAAGGCTGTCACATTTCATCCTCACAGCAGCCTCATTCATTCATTCCACAAATATATATTCAGCAGCTACTCTTCTTCAGACTCAGGGTGTTTAAGGTAGATACTGTCATCCCTGTTTTACAAATCTGGCAGAGCTTGAGTTCAAGCCCATATTTTTTGACTCTGAAGACCCAGGCTCTTTCTGCTATACCGTATGCTTCCCAGTATATCGTGCTCAAATTCACAATGCCTTCAGAGAAGTTTTTTGGTTTCTTCTGATGTCATAGAGAAAACCAGTGAAAGAAAACAACAGCAACAACTCAAAGCGGAAGAGCAGAGAGGACCTCTGTTGGTTTACTATAGAGCACAAGGAAATGAATTACATAGAAAACAGATATGGGAGTGCTACCCCTCTTATCCTGAGACAGTGCCACCCTCCTCGGCATTCCCCGCTTTGTGCCTTCCATCTGCCAGCTTGTCCTCAGTGCTTTATATGTATTTGCTCATTCAAATCTTATCACAACCCTCTGAGGCAGGTTGTTCTTAAAACTCCATTTTAGAGATGAGGCTCAGAGGCCCCGAGAGGCTTAAAACTTTGTTCAAGATTTATAAGCACGAAGTGTCAAAGCCCAGGATCGAGGCTGTCTGGGTCCTGGGTATGACTCATAAGTGCTGTCCTGCTGTATCTCTTGGTGCTTCTGGAATTGCTTTGATTTTATCCCGATGATCCCGAACCTCTGTGTCCATCCCTTTTGGTTCTTGTGACCTGTGGGGCTCCAATTCCAGCTGCCCGCTGGCTGGCTCTACCCAAAAGTCTTGCAGAGACATCTAACTCAACGTGATCCATATGTATTCATGACTTACTTAATTCAACAAATGTATTTAGCTCTCCTACTCTGTGCCAGGTAATGTTCTAGACATTAGAGATGAAGTTGTGAAAACCAACAAAAGATTCTTGCCTTCTTTGAGCTTATTTCTTGTGGAGTCTGGTAGGGTTGGGGGGTGGGAGGGAGGGAGGAGAGATTAAAGAAATAACTGAAAAATAAATATCGGAAGGGAAGACTTGGATGGAGATGGTAAAGGAGGTAAGAGGGGTAGAGACTATAGGTGGGGGATTGCAACTGGGGCGGTCACAGAAGGTCTTCCTACAGTGACATTTGAATGAAGA